TGCTAGAAAGCAGAAAAAGCTAAATCGCGTGGCACTGCTGATCCCCCCCTCCCCTGCTGTTCTACTGGTGTGTACTGCGCATGTGTGGCCAGCGAACCGGTAGCAAACAGGTTCAGATTTTATCACTGGTATGTGGTCACCCTTTAAAAGCTGTATGCAATGAAATTTTATTTTTAATGTATGCCAATTAGTGTACAAAGTGACAATAAAGTTTGTCTGTCTGTCTGTCTCCTATCTATCTATCTATCTATCTATCTATCTATCTATCTATCTATCTATCTATCTATCTATCTATCTATCTATCTATCTATCCATCCATCCATCCATCTTTCTCTCTCTCTTACCTCCCTCCCTTGCAGTGGAAAATGTGTGTCACAGGTCTGCTGGGATTTGTCAGGATGTGGCTTTTCCCATATTTGGAAGGAAAATTTCATCCTTTTCCTTTTTCTCCCCAACCCAACTTCCCTTCCTGGCTTCCTGGCCCAGCTCTGCCTGGAGCCCCCGATGCGCCCGGTCGGAATTTCTGGCTCCGATCCTCGGAATGCAAGGAAAACAGACCAGGCGCAGCTTAGCAACGACTCAGCAGCCATGGAAAAATCACGCCACCCACCCCAAATTCCAGGATTCGGCTTTCTGACAGCCCCCACCAAGTCCCCAAGAGTACAGGCAGTCCTCGACTTACAACAGTTCATTTAGTAACCGTTTAAAGTTACAACGGCACTGAAAAAAGTGAGTTAGGGCCGTTTTTCACACTTACGACCGTTGCAACATCCCCATGGGCACATGATCAGAATTCAGACGCTTGACAACTGACTCGCATTTATGACGGTTGCATTGTCAATGGGGAAGCCAGGTTCACTTAACAACCGTGCCACTAACTTTAACAACTGCAGTGATTCATTTAACAACCGTGGAGAGAAGTTGTCATAAAATGGGACAAAATTAACATATCAACTGCCCCACTTAGCAACAGAAATTTTGGGCTCAATTGTGGTCGTAAGTCGAAGACTACAATTTCCCTTGCCGAGCCAAATGTGTTGGCTCTGATTTTACGACCGTTTTTGCCACGGGTGTTAAGCGAATCACTGAAGTTGTTAAGTGAATCATGCAGTCGTTAAGTGATCTGGTCTCCTTCTTTGAATTTGCTCGCCAGAAGCCAGCAAGGAAAGGTGAGAAAGGGTGACCAGATGACCCCAGGCCACTCTAAATGTCACAAATGAATGCCAAGCGGCTGAATTTTCATCATGTGACCGTGGGGGGAATGCTGCAACGGTCATAACTGTGAGGACCAGACGTAAGCCTTTTCTTCAGTGCCATTGTCACTTTGAAATGGTTGCTAAATGAATGCTTGTTAGGTTGAAGACTACCTATAATTCCAAGCTATGCTCAGAAAGAATACCACTCCCCAAGAAAGCAGCCTCTGATTGGAGGGGCTCAAAGTGCCAACCCAGACCATGCACAGTCTTTAAAATGCAACTTTTGGGGCAGTTTTCTCAAGCTTGGCAACTTTAAGATTATAGACTTCAACTCCCAGAATTCCCCACCCAGCCAGTGGAATTCTGGGAGTTGAAGTCCACATGTCTCAGAGCATCCTGAGCAGGGAATTCTGGGAGTTGAGGTTCACATATCTCAAAGCATCCTGAGCAGGGAATTCTGGGAGTTGAAGTCCACATGGTCTCAGAGCATCCTGAGGGGGAATTCTGGGAGTTGAAGTCCACATGTCTCTCAAACATCCTGAGCGGGGAATTCTGGGAGTTGAAGTCCACGTCTCAGAGCATCCTGAGCGGGAAATTCTGGGAGTTGAAGTCCACATGTCTCAGAGCATCCTGAGCGGGGAATTCTGGGAGTTGAAGTCCACATGTCTCAGAGCATCCTGAGCGGGGAATTCTGGGAGTTGAAGTCCACATGTCTCAGAGCATCCTGAGTGGGGAATTCTGGGAGTTGAAGTCCACATGTCTCTCAAAACATCCTGAGCGGGGAATTCTGGCAGTTGAAGTCCACGTCTCAGACCATCCTGAGCGGGAAATTCTGGGAGTTGAAGTCCACATGTCTCAGAGCATCCTGAGCGGGGAATTCTGGGAGTTGAAGTCCACATGTCTCAGAGCATCCTGAGGGGGAATTCTGGGAGTTGAGGTCCACATGTCTCTCAAAACACCCTGAGCGGGGAATTCTGGGAGTTGAAATCCACATGTCTCAAAGCATCCTGAGCAGGGAATTCTGGGAGTTGAAGTCCACATGTCTCAGAGCATCCTGAGCGGGGAATTCTGGGAGTTGAGGTCCACGTCTCAAAGTATCCTGAGCGGGGAATTCTGGGAGTTGAGGTCCACATGTCTCTCAAAGCATCCTGAGCAGGGAATTCTGGGAGTTGAGGTCCACATGTCTCTCAAAACATCCTGAGCGGGGAATTCTGGGAGCTGAAGTCCACATGTCTCAGAGCATCCTGAGCGGGGAATTCTGGGAGTTGAAGTCCACATGTCTCAGAGCATCTTGAGCGGGGAATTCTGGGAGTTGAAGTCCACATGTCTCAGAGCATCCTGAGCGGGAATTCTGGGAGTTGAGGTCCACATGTCTCAGAGCATCCTGAGCGGGGAATTCTGGGAGTTGAGGTCCACATGTCTCAGAGCATCCTGAGCGGGGAATTCTGGGAGTTGAGCTCCACATGTCTCAGAGCATCCTGAGCGGGGAATTCTGGGAGTTGAGCCCATGTCTTAAAGCATCCTGAGTGGGGCATTCTGGGAGTTGAGTCCCTGTCTTAAAGCATCCTGAGTGGGGCATTCTGGGAGTTGAGTCCTGTCTTAAAGCATCCTGTGTGGGGCATTCTGGGAGTTGAGTCCCTGTCTTAAAGCATCCTGAGTGGGGCATTCTGGGAGTTGAAGTCCCTGTCTTAAAGCATCCTGAGTGGGGCATTCTGGGAGTTGAAGTCCCTGTCTTAAAGCATCCTGAGTGGGGCATTCTGGGAGTTGAGTCCCTGTCTTAAAGCATCCTGTGTGGGGAATTCTGGGAGTTGAAGTCCCTGTCTTAAAGCATCCTGAGTGGGGCATTCTGGGAGTTGAGTCCCTGTCTTAAAGCATCCTGAGTGGGGCATTCTGGGAGTTGAAGTCCCTGTCTTAAAGCATCCTGTGTGGGGAATTCTGGGAGTTGAGTCCCTGTCTTAAAGCATCCTGAGTGGGCATTCTGGGAGTTGAAGTTCACATGTTTCAAATCAAGCTGAGTGGGGCATTCTGGGAGTTGATATCTACAAGTCTTAAAGTTCCCAAGCTTGAGAAAGACTGCTATCTCCCAGCCTTGGAAGGGGCTGTGGAGAAGGAACAACCTGTTATTTTCCTATCATTATGTAGCTCTTTGGGTAGCTTCTATATAACCGACAATCATGGTTTGCTCTGTCTTGACTTATCCAGCAAGCCAGCATCTTACCCCAGGGCAGCCTGGCCATTCTGGAACCCGCTGACCTCAGCTGCAACCCGCAGGCCAGTTCACAAAGAGGAGTTCCATCTCAGGCGGGCGGTTCAACTGCCGAGGCTGTCATGCAAGGGGCTCAGGCAGGGGCCCTCCGGAATTTGGACATGGACGAAGGCAGCTCAGGTCAGGGGGCTCCCCTGCCCATTGAAAGGGGAACAGTGGGATGGTCCAAAAGGTCAAAAATGGCAGCCTAGAGAGGCCTGGTTTTTATAAACCACAATTGCAGGCTTATTCAGGGACCCCTTTGGGAACAGTTGAAAACTGTTTCCCAGCCAAAAAATAAAAAAAAAGGCATGGCTTTGGGAGAATCTAGGTTTGAGTCCATCTCTGCCATGGAAGCTTATGGATGTCTTGCACCAGCCCACCTCACAGGGTTGTTGTTGGGAAGAATGGGAGGAAAAGCATGCTGGCCTGAATCCAAGACGGATAAAATGCGGGAAGGATAATTTATTTGGAAGACAACTAAAAATTTGATGTTTTGTCCCCGGCTTAGTCCCAGCAGGGAGTCCGAAGGGGTCAAAAAAGTCAAGATGGCGGATGGTGGAAGTGGCTGTAGGTGGGGAGGATCAAGGCTCAATTTCTTTTTTCTTTTTTTACGCATGGTGCATTGAACAAGGCCTAGGGCAACGTGGGTGGACTTCAACTCCCAGAATCCCCCAGCCAGCCTGGGAGTTGAAATCCACCCATCTAACATTGCTGAACTTGGAGAAATATTGTTTTTTTAATCAGTTTGAGATCTTGGTGGTGGACATTTAATTTAAGCAGCCCTAGATTCCGAGGATTAAAAATATAATAATCTGGTCCGAAGTACTCTGCACATGCTCAGAGGCACTCCCAAGGCCCACACTCCCCTGCTCCCTTTTAGGTCACCTCTATATTTTTTGTAAGTGCCATAGATCCCTGAACTACGCTACACTTCCGCCTCTGCTGCAATGGCCGTAGCCAATCAGAGCCGAGGGGGCGTGGCCTGGGCCGAGGCTTTTTCCAAGGGGAGAAGCGTGGCCGGTGGAAAGTGAGAAGAGCCAATTGGCGCTGAGGGGGGCGTGCCCCTGGAGGTGGCCTTATAAGGGGAGGGCCTCCAGAGAGAGTTAGGCCAATCAGCGCTGAGGTGTGTTGCTCAAGTCAGAAACTTTGTGCGAGGAATATGCCTAGTGCTATAGGCCAATCAGCGCCGAGAGGGCGGGGCCGGAGCACAGGCTTTCTAAGGGGAACATACCCTGGGTGGGTAGGGCAAGGCGCGGCCGCCAGGGAGAAAAGCCAATCAAGCGCCGAGAAGGCGGGGCCCGGGCGCAAGGCATTTTTAAAAGGAACATTCCTGAGGGGAGGGAAGAAGCCAATCACAGCCGAGAGGGCGTGGCCCGAGCTCAGGCTTTCTAAAGAGGAACATCCCTGGGTGGGCGTGTCAAGGCGGGCGGAGAGGGCGCGGCCGCCGGGCGGAAGCCAATCCCGGCTCGGGAGGGGGGCGTGGCGTCCCGGGCGGAGGCTTTATAAAGGGCGGCGCTGCGGGGCGCGTGGCCAGTGCGGGCGGGCGGGCGTGCGCGGGAGGGTGGGCTGCGCGCCGTGACTGAGCGGCTTCCCCGCAGCAGGGCTGGGCTCGGCCATGTTCAGCTGGGTGAGCCGCGACGCGCGTCGGCGCAAGGAGCCCGAGCTGTTCCGCACCGTCTCGGAAGGGCTGAAGCAGCTCTACGCCGGGAAGCTGCTGCCGCTGGAGGAGCACTACCGCTTCCACGACTTCCACTCGCCGGCGCTGGAGCCCGCCGACTGGGAGAGCAAGCCCATGGTGCTGCTGGTGGGCCAGTACAGCACGGGCAAGACCACCTTCATCCGCCACCTGCTGGAGCAGGACTTCCCCGGCATGCGCATCGGGCCCGAGCCCACCACCGACTCCTTCATCGCCGTCATGGGCGGGGAGAGCGAGGGCGTCGTCCCGGGCAACGCGCTGGTGGTCGACCCCCGACGCCCCTTCCGCAAGCTCAACGCCTTCGGCAACGCCTTCCTCAACAGGTGAGGCCTCAGCCTGAGGACTAGACTAGCAGCGGCGGCGGCTGCTGCTGAGCCAGGGTGGTGGCAGCAGGGACACTGGTCTTGAGGACTAGCAGCACCGGTTAGGTTTGCAGATGCAAGGGGGGGCGGGGCAACAGGGAAGCAGGAGAGGGGCTTTTGAGGCTGGTCTTGAGGACTAGCAGCACCGGTTAGGTTTGCAGTTGCACTGGGGGCAGCAAAGAGGGAAGAGGGCTCATCCTGAGGACTAGAAGCGCTGCTCCTAGCTCTCCAGCTGCGGGGGGAGGGGGCGGGGGAAGGCTGATCCAGAGGACTAGAAACACTGCTGCTAGCTCTCCAGATCCAGGGTGGTGGTGGGGGGGGGGGGGGGGGGACGGGGCAACAGGGAAGCAGGAGGGTCTTTTGAGGCTGGTCTTGAGGACTAGCAACACCGTTTAGGTTTGCAGATGCAGGGCAGGGGCAGCAAGGAGGGAAGAGGATTGATCCAGAGGACTAGAAGCATTGCTGCTAGCTCTCCCAGCTGTGGGGGAGGGGGGGGAGCCTGATCCTGAAGACTAGAAGCACTCCTGCTAGCTCTCCAGAGCCAGAGTGGGCGGGGGAGGTGGCAGCAGGGAGGAAGGAGGGTCTGATCTTGAGGACTAGAAACACTGCTGCTAACTTTCCAGCTGCGGGGGTGGGGGGAGAACAGGGAAGCAGGAGAATCTTTTGAGGTTGGTCTTGGGCACTGGCAACACCATTTAGGTTTGCAGATGTGGGGTTTGGGCAGCAAGGAGGGAAGAGGACTGTTCTTGACGGCTAGAACCACTGTTTTACCTTTCCAGATGTAGAATGGGCGGGAAGGGGGCAGCAAGGAAGAAGGAGGGGAGTCTGATCTTGAGGACTAGAACCACTGCTGCTCAACTCTTGATGGCTTTAAGATGGGTGGACTCCAGCTCCCAGAAATCCCCAGCCAACCATGGAAAAGGTGCAGATCTTTTCCTTTGCAGCCAAAAGAGGCACTTCGGTGCCCTCCTAGTGCCAGGTAGTCCCCAGGAGGCCAGGGCAGATCAGTCTACAGAATCATAGAGTTGGAAAGGGTCCTTCGAGGTTCTGTAGTCCAACCCCCTTCTAGTCCACCAAGAAAACCCATTCCTAGAAGGCGGTTTATATATATATATATATATATATATATATTAATTTGATTTATATGCCGCCCTTCTCCGGAGACTCAGGGCGGCTTACAATGCATTAAGCAATAGCCTTCATCCTTTTGTATATTTATACAGAGTCAGCTTATTGCCCCCACAATCCGGGTCCTCAATTTACCTACCTTAGAAAGGATGGAAGGCTGAGTCAACCTTGAGCCTTGGCGAGATTCGAACCTGCAGTAATTGCAGGCAGCTGGTCTTAATAACCAGCTTAACAGGGTGCCTTAGACCACTGTACTACCAAGGCTCTTTATTTAAGGCAGTATATTTAATTCATATGCTGCCCATCTTAACTGATCAAGCAACTTTGGTTTAGCATAGAATTGGATAAGAGGAGAAGAGAGGCATCCACTTACGAGTCCAGGTTGACTTAAACCCAGTTAGTAGCATAGCAAAACAGCTGACTTCACACCATCCCTGCCCCAGCGGTGGGCAAATTCGGCTGGAGTTCATTTGCGGTTCTGTGAATGGAGTCCAGTCAGTGGGGAATTGTGAGTCATCGGGTGCAGCTGCCACAAGCCTGAGTGACCCAGAATAACAGAGCTGGGAGAGGGACCTTAGAGGTCTCCTAGTCCAGCCCGCTGCTGAGGCAGGAAGCCCCTATACTAGTATTTCAGACAAATGCCTGTGCAATCTCTTCTTAAAATCTTCACCACTTCTTGAAATCAAGCCCTTTGCTCCGGTCAATTGTTCTCATTGTCAGGAAATTTCCCCTGGATTGGCACCGAGGGAGGGTCAGAGGTCAACAGGCTCTCTTGCAAAAACATCTGAGTAATGGCAGCCCCCCCCCCTTCTCTCTGGGTTGGTGTAACTACACTGGAATTATCTTCTCTCTGAGTCACTGCAAATCCTGGGCGTGGCTCCTTGCTAGAGTTTTGCTTTTTTTCTGCCAGCTTGTGCCCATCTCGATTGGCCATCCGCTTGCAACCATTGCAGCCATCTCCTGCCCGGCTTCCCCTCCTCTCAAGCTTCATGCTTGATTTCTCTCTCATTGGCCTCGTGACGTCCGGTCGCACCCCACCCAAAAGCCTTTTGAAACTGGGAAAGTCTGAAAAACTCTTAAAATATTTTAAAAATCACATAAATCTAAGTGGGCTTCCTTCCCCGTTGCAAAAACCCATTATTCCTTTATTTGGAATAGACTAGAGGGTGCAAAAAACCCCAAAAACTCTGTGGATTTAATCTTCCTGTTTAAAAGTGGCATCCAGAGTTGGTCCATTGTTCTCTTTATTGCCGGTGGTGCTCGGAGGCGTCTGCCAATTGTGTCGGCCAACCAGCCTCATTAATTCACAAAAGAAAAGAAAAAAATTCCTGGAATGCTGGCTTTTGCAGCTGTAGAAACATGATTTTTTTTTTAAGGAAGGAGAGAGCGGTGAAAGCTCTGGATATTTACAAATATTAAAAATAGCTCGGCCTGTGCTGAGCGAAAAGCCCAATAAAATACATTTGCTGAATGTTCACGGTGCTTAAAATTCAGGGATATAAGCTGAGGCCCCGGAGATGCAGGCAAGCCTGCCTTCCATTTGAAAACGTTTGCAGCTTTTCTGCTGTGTCAGATAATTGGTTTTGTGGTCTGGAAAAAAGGACTTTGCGGGCCTGGGATCAGCCCATCAATCCATAGAACTTTCTGCAGCCGAAATTCTCGAGTTGTGTTGTGTTCGCATAACACAAACCGAACCCCAGATTTTTTAAAATTTTTGCAAAGCCTTAAGACTGCTAGTTTGCAAACTTGCCAAAGTTTAGAGATGGGCGGACTTCAAATTCCCAGAATTCCCCAGCCGGCTGTGCTAGGAGCTAAAGTCCACCCGTCTTAAACTTTGGCAAATTTTGAAAAACGCTGCTTTGAATTACGAGTTGACCAAACTCTAAACCGGGGTCTCCAAACTACTTGGGAACTTGAAGACTTGAGGACTTCAACTCCAGAATTCCCCAGCCAGCATCGCGATGCTGGCTGGGGAATTCTGGGAGTTGAAGTCCTCAAGTCTTCAAGTCCCCAAGTTTGGAGACCCCTGCTCTAAACTCTCTTCCCCAAATACACCAGGGTTTTAAAAAAAAAAACTCTGCAAACCTTAGTGTCTTGTGTGAATGTGGGCATCTTGTCCTTTTACTTGGTGAAACTGAACTGGCTTTGCCAACACACAACTGCAACGTTGGGAACTCAAAAGCAGGCCCAGCTCGGGAGAAGGATCGTCGCTTGGGTAGCTCCCCCCCAAGATTTGCAAAAGCTTTTCGGGATCCTTCCTTACCACTGGCAGAGTTTGCAAAAAAATATATATGTAAGGCACCCTTCTCTCGTTGCTCCTGTGGGTTGGGCGGTCTTGTACAGACCAGTTGCTGGGCGTGTTAATTCAGATTTCAGTCCTGGGCAGGCAGATTTTTGTGCCAGTGTGCACCAGGTGTCCTTTCCCCACCCTGTCCAGTCATTGGGGAATGCCCGGCTTAAAGAGAAAGTGATGATCCCGAAATTCTCAGTGTGGCTCAACTGAATGGAAACTCCCCTCCCTCTTCCCCCCCAAGCAGGAGGCTCTGGGGTCAAGGATTTGGTTTTGGCCTGGTTAAACAGCAACACTACAATCTCACTTTTTATTGTTGTAGGGCGATGATAAGAGAAATTGGAAAGCAAGTTTCGGTAACGATAAAGGGGAATATTTGTAGTCAGGGTTGAATTGTGGCATCGGCTGTGCTCTCTGAGCTTGGTGGTTTTCTTGCAGACCCAACTAGAGAACATCATCAGTGGTAGAAGGGAGTGAGGTTTGTGGAGTAGTGGAGGAGGACAACGACTGGGATCCTTGGTGCTCTCTCTGATCTTGGTCATTTTCTTGCAGACGTTTCATTACCCAGTTAGGTAACATCATCAGGGACAGAAGAGAATGTAGTGCGCAGAGTGGAGAAGGAAGGGTAGTTAGGACACTGAAGGCTGTGGGGTCCTTGGTGCTCTCTGAGCCTTGGTTGTTTTATTGAAGATTTAGAATAGAAACGAACCATCCGGTATCTTTCTCACCCTATGAAAAATTAACCTGTGGAATTCATTGCCACCAGACGTGACCGCTAAGTCAACTGGCAGGGCTTTAAGAAAAGAGCTGGATAAATTTAAGGAGGCAGATTCTTTTTATGTTCCAGCATAGGGGAATACAGATAGTCCTCAATTTACATCACAACCGGGACTGAAATTTCCGTTGCGAAGCAAGGCCGTTGAGTAAATTGTGCCTGATTTTACAGCCCTGGTTGTTAATTAAGTGAATTGCATCTGGTTGCTAAGTGAATTATGCGGTCATGAGGCAAGTGGGACTTCCTCCATTGACTTTGGAAAGCCCACCAAAATCTTGAAAGCCCACCAGAGTTTCAGTTTAACAGAGTTGGAAGGGACCTTGGAGGTCATCTAGTCCAACCCCCTGCCCAAGCAGGAGACCCTACGCCACTTCTGACAGATGGCAGTCCAGTTTCTTCTTGAAAGCTTCCAATATTGAAGCTCCCACAACTTCCGAAGGCAACTTCTGTGCCATCGGTTGATTCTTCTCACTGTAAGAAAATTCCTCCTTATTTCCAGGTTGAATCTCTCCTCGATCAGTTTCCATCCATTCTTCCTTCTCTGGCCTTCGGGTGCTTTGGAGAATAGCTGGACCCCCTTCCTCCTCTCTGGGGAAGCCCCTCAAATATTGGAAGATGCTCTCCTGTCTCCCCTGGTCCTTCTCTTCACTAGACCAGCCAGGCCCAGTTCCTGCAACCGTTCTTCATATGTTTTAGCCTCCAGTCCCCTCATCATCCTGGTTGCTCTTCTCTGCACTTTTTCTAGAGTCTTTTCATATCTTTTTTATAATGTGGGGACCAAAAATGGATGTAGGACTCTAGGTGTGGCCTTACTAAGGCTTTATATAGAGTGCTATTAGGACCTCCCTTGATCTTGATTCCATCCCTCTGTTAATGCAGTTTAGGATTGCATTGGCTTTTTTGGCTAATAAGATGATTCGGGGACTGGAGACTAAAACATATGAAGAAGGGTTGCAGGGATTGGGAAATGTCTATTCCAGGGGTCTCCAAACGTTTTGAAGTTGAGTCCAGAGGTCTTAAAGTTGCCAAGTTTGGAGACCCCTGGTCTAGTCTCAACATCCTTTTTATAGTGTGGTGACCAAAAGTGGATGCAGGACTCTAGGTGTGGCCTTACTAAGGCTTTATGGAGTGGGATTAGGACCTCCCTGGATCTTGGTTGTATCCCTCTGTTAATGCAACAACCCCAAACAGGATCAAAGTAGTAGGATGACGTTTTCTCACGCTTTCCTGTTTCCCACCATGAAGTTCCTGCAACACAGAGTTGATCTCTCCGCTCTGCAACTTGGTTCTCTTGTGACATCTGCACGGATTTTGTCATCCTTGGCAATTGTAAAGGAAGGGAAGATATTTCTTCAGAAGCCAACTAAGCTGGTCTCACTTTCCAAAGTAAAGAGTGTTGAAAGATGATGGCCCTGGTCTGGAGTTCCTCATTCTCACAGCTCTTTTGGGCCGAGGAGCGATTACAAGCCCACATTAGGTGGACTACAACTCCCATCGCCTCCTCCAGCCAGCACCAGCTTGGGGAAGGCAGATCTTCCCAGGGGAATGTCTTCCCTCCCCCCTCCGCTGCCTTTCCCAGCCTGAGTTTTCGGTCCGGTCCGCCTCGCAGGGTTTTTGCATGCAACTTCCCTTCTGCGGAAACTTGAAGCATTTTGTAATCCCGTGAAGGATGTGGTTGTGGCTACACTGTGGGGAAAAAAAAACGTACAGAGATACTCCTCGACTTACGACCACAATTGAGCCCAACTTTTCTGTTCCCCTAAGTGTAACGGTTGCTGAGTGAGTTCTGCCCCACTTTACGACTTTTTCTTGCCGCCGTTGTTACGCGAAGTTGCAGTTGTTTTAAGTTAGTGACGTGGTTGTTAAGTGAATCTGGCTCCCCACCCCACCCCTTGACTTCGCTTTTCGCAAAAGGGATCACGTGACGTCCCGGGACACTGCATCATACCGTCATAAGTATGAGCCAGTGGCCAAGCGTCTTGATTTTTTTGATCACGTGACTTGGGGGGGGGATCAAAACTGTTAAAAAACATTTTAAAAGTTTTTTCCCGGTGCCATTGTAACTTCAAAGAGTCACTAAATGAATGGTTTATAAGTAGAGGATTACCTGCAAAACCTCCCAGAGACTTTCGTCGCTAAGAAAAACCTCCCTGGATGGGATTGGGGAAGACGTCTCGTGTGTGAGGGGCCTGCTTGTTGGGGAAGGCAGGATGGACAAATGGTTGGATTTGCTGATTGTGGCTGTCTCTGCTCCTCCGGAGGCCGGTTTCTGTGCTCTTTGAACCCGCTGGCCTCCAATTCCTCCACGCTGCTGGCTTGCTAAGTGCTTTTGCAACAAAGCAGGAGTTCTCCTGCTATGCCAGGGAGCCTGGACTTGGGACCGGAAAGCGGAGAATCTGAAAAATGCACACACAGAGCCCTAATTCAATTCTAGGTTGGATCTCTCTCTGATACGCTTCCCTCCCTTCCTTCTTAGTATCTATCCTATGACTATCACTAAGTGATATTTTATGGTTCTTGACGAAGGTATTTTTTCTTTTTATGTACACTTGAGAGCTTATGCACCAAGGACGAATTCCTTGTGCGTCCAATCACACTTGGTCAATGAAGAATTCGGTTCTTTATGTTTTTTTATTATTTTTTAAAAATACACATCCATATTGTGTATGAACAGAGTTGGTTCTGGGTATCATATTAATCCAATTTGCAGTAACAATATTCTCTTCTATTTTCTCTTCTATTTTTTTCTATATTCTTCTATTCTCTATTCTCTTCTATTTTCCTCTATTTCTATTCTATTCTGAATTCTATTCTATTCCATTCTATATATTCTATTCTATTCTGTTCCATTCCTGTTCTATTTCTATTTCTATTCTGAATTCTATTTCATTCCATTCCATATATTATTCTATTCTATTCCATTCCTATTCTATTTCGATTCTATTCTGAATTCCATTCCATTCTGTATTCTATTCTATTTCTATTCTGAATTCTATTCCATTCTATTCCATATATTCTATTCTATTTCTGTTCTCTTCCTATTCTATTCTGAATTCTATTCTATTCTACTCTCCATTCCATTCTTGCCCTGCCCTGGAGTGGATGGAAACTTATCAAAGAGAGAAGCAACCTGGAAATGAGAAATTTCCCGTCAGTGGGAACAATTAACCAGTGGAACCACTTGCCTCCAGAAGTTGTGGCTGCTCCATCACAGGAGGGTCTTCAAGAAGAGATCGGACAAAACAATCTGTCCGAAATGCTATAGGGTTTCCTGCTTGAGCGGCGAGTTGGGCTAGCTGACCTCTGAAGCCCCTTCCAGCCCTAGGATTCTGTGTTCTGTGTCTCAGCGCATTCTCTGGAACTCAAAGCTTGCCATATCTCTGGGGTGTTTTTGATAGTTTGAGAACGGGGAGGGGAGGATGATGAATGGGGGGGGCTGGGATTGCACACGTGCACACACACAACTTGGGATATTCTCCTTTGCTTTCGAATGCAGAAGCAGGCCTTTTAAAAGACTCACACTCACGTTTTCATGCCTTTCCAGGCAGGAAAAATTTCGGCTCAGCAAGCCAGAGTTTTCAGCACTTGTCTAAGGAGATTCTCAGTCATTCAGCTCATGGTTGTCCCAAAGGTGCTTTTTTTCAAGAGGCAATTTTTCTTGTTTTTTCTTTGAAGACTTTTCGCTTCTCATCCAAGGAGCTTCTTCAGCTCTACCAGGATGGTGAGGAACGGAAGGATTGATGCTCCTTGCGGACAGCTGGAAATTTGCATCCTTTTAGAGGGTCGTTGAGGCCACTTGGAGGTTTCCCTGTGTCCTCAGGGTCACCCGAGTGGTGCAAATGGAGCCTTCTTGGAACTGCTAAGAGGATTGGGGAAACAAAACAACCACTTCCTAAACGCATGCCACAACATAGAAGAACAAACCCATCAGGACAAAATCCAGCAGTCCATCTGCATTTAAAGGACAAAGGCCACTCTTTTGAAGAAGACAACGAAGTCCACATTTTGGACACAGAGGACCGCTGGTTTGGAAGAGGGGTCCAAGAGGCCATCTGTGTCCCTAATTGATAAGCCCTCCCTCAACAGAGAGGGAGGGATACAACATCTATCTCCAGTCTACAACACAGTCCTTTCAGCAGTTCCAAGAAGGCTCCACACCCTTTTGCACCACTCAGGTGACCGAGGACATAGATAAAGCCTCCAAGTGGCCTCAACGACACTCTCAAACAACAGCAAATATTCTTTGCTGTCTGCAAAGAATATAAATCCTTCCATTCCTCACCCTCCGGTCAGAGCTGAGGAAGCTTCTTAGATGAGAAGCGAAACATCTTCAAAGAAAAAAGAAGGAAGTCCAGTTGCCTCTTGAAAAAAGCACCTGAGGGGTTTTCAGCACTGGTCATCCAGGGAGATTTTGAGGGGTCAACATGGGAAGGCTCGGGGTCTGCCCATCCTTGAAGTCACCCAAGCCGTGGTCTCACCCCATGCAGGTTTAATGGATGAGTCAATCGTCTTTTAAGTGTCAGGAAAAGAAATGAGCAGTTCAAGCAGAATGGCAAAAATTCTGCCCCGTTTCTGCCCAGCCGCCTCCTAATCCTATCCCTTCCGTTCCCTTTGCAGATTTATGTGCGCGCAGCTGCCAAATCCCGTCCTGGACAGCATCAGTATCATTGACACGCCGGGCATCCTATCTGGGGAGAAACAGCGGATAAGCAGAGGTGAGGCTTAAGAGCAGGGCTGGGCTTCAAACATTTTAGCCAGGGGTTCTCTGCCCGGTTGCTGGATGGGTGCGGCCATGGTGGGTGTGGCCTAGTCAGCCTCCTGCACCACAGCCCGGGGGGGGGGCGTTTTTGTCCTCCCCGGGCTCCGGAGGCTTTCCTCGAGCCTCCGAGAGGGCGAAAACGGCCTCCCCAGGCTCTGGAGGCCCTCTAGAGGCCGGAAACATTTCCGGCCTTCCTGAACTTCTGGTAGCCCCGTTTTTCACCCTCCCCGAACCTCCACACGCGCCCTGCACTTACCTGTATCCAAAACGGGTGGCGTGTGGACACCTGGGAGGGGAGGAGCAGGGCAGGAAGGCCCAGCCAGGAGTGGGATTTGGGGGTTCTCCGAACTGCACAGAATCTTAGCTAGAGGTTCTCCCGAACCCCCAGGAGCCCATCTCTGCTTAAGAGGTGGTGTGGATGGTTAAAAGTCCTGGGTCCCCATTTTGCAGGGCTTCTCCTACCCTCCCCAAGAAAGAAAAAAATAAATAAATATAGGTTTTAAATACAGGTAGTCCCGTATTTAGTGACAGCCCACTTAGTGCCCGTTCATTTAATGACCATTTGGAGTTACATCACTTAAAACAAAATGACTTATGACCATTTTTCACACTTACGTTGCCCCTTCCCCTCAGTCACATGATCAAAATTCGGACGCTTGGCAATTGACTCCTATTTATGACGGTGGGCAGGGTCTCCTGCGGTCACATGATCCCCTTTCGGCGACCTCCCGACGAGCAAAGTCAACAGGGAAAGCTGAAGCAACTTAGGAACCGTGTTCCTAATTGAACGAGCGCAGTGATTCGCTTAACAGACGTGGCAAGAAAGGTCGTAAAAATGGGGCAAAACTCACTGAAGTCCTTACTTAGCAACATAAATGTTGGGCTCCGTTGCAGTCATAAATTGAGTTACTCAGGGTCATATGCAGTCGTGGGTTTCAATTTTTTTTTACTACTGGTTCTGTGGGCGTGGCAGGGGAAGGATATTGTAAAATCTCCCTTCCCTCCCCGCTCCAGGGGGAAGGTTACTGCAAAATCCCCATTCCCTCCCGATCAGCTGGGACTCGGGAGGCAGAGAATAGATGGGGGCGGGGCCAGTCAGAATTTTTATTACCGGTTCTCCGAACTACTCAAAATTTCCGCTACCAGTTCTCCAGAACTGGTCAGAACCTGCTGAAGACCACCTCTGGTCATATGTGAGAAAGACCTTGGGGGATGGATGAACGCCTAGGGCAGTGATGGCGAACCTTTTGCGCGGCTTTCCCCCCCTGTGCGCTGCGTGCACAATCGCACCATTTACACATGCACACAATTTTCGCACGTGAGATGCACATGCACGAACGCCATCTACGCATGTGCACGCTGCACGCAAGTATTCACATGCGCAGGAGAGCTCCGAAGACTAACTGGATCTCCTGAATTGCGCATATGCGCACCGGAGGCCCAAACAGCAGTTGGGAGGCGCGCACATGCGCAGCTGCAGGTGAGTTCTGCGACAGCTCGCGTGCCTGGAAAGATGGCTCTGCATGCCACCTCGGGCACGCGTGCCATAGGTTCGCCAACACGGGCCTAGAGAATAGGCTCCTTTCCTGGGTTGGAAAAAAATTCTATTTTGTGATGTGATCTCCTAGCCGGCTTCCGATTCAAAGTCAATCCAGAAGCGAGTTTTGCTTAAAGACCATGCAATTCGCTTAATGGCCGCATGAATCCTTTGCCTACACATGATTTGTTTAACGACCGCGGCATAAAAAGGATGTAAAACTGGACACAACTTCTAGCGTCAAGACCTGCCTTTCAGAGTGTTTCTTTAGGGAAGAAAGTTTCCTTCCACCCACAAAATCCATCACTAAAGGTCCACTTGCGATTTTTAAAAAACCCAAAAAGCACCAGACAGCTGGCTACGTTTTCTTTTGGCTTTTGAAGTTTTAATAAAAGATGCTAAGAGAAGGTACGAACTCATAAAAAGGAAGAGAAAAGGTAGAAACCAATAAGTGGGAAAAAAGGGGAAAAAATGGAACAGAGGGGGAAAAAATGCAAAGAAGCAGCTTTTTGATCTTCTTTACAGCCATCATAAACAGAGTTATAAACTGAATTCTTGCTCTACAGTTACGACATAACTCTTTTCTGTCTATAATCTATCCTGACTAAGTATCAAAACCAGAAGTCATCAGCTATTTTTTTTCCCCCTGTTTCCCCCCAAAAAAGGGAATGAGGGGCTCTATTTCCCACCTCCCCCACTGTCTAGAGCCCATTCCCAGGAAGGAATTGCATTCTGGGAGCAGAATAACAGAGTTGGAAGGGACCTTTGGAGGTCTTCTAGTCCACCCCTTGCTCAAGCAGGAGACCCTATACCAATCCAGACAAATGGATGTCCAGTCTCTTCTTAAAAGCCTCCGTTGTTGGAGCAACTCCATAACTTCTGGAGGCAAGTTGTTCCACTGATTGATTGATTGGTCTACAGCAGTGATGGCTAACCTTTTTGCCATCATGTGCCAAAAGTGGGGGGAGTATGGAGGGGCTGCCCGCCCGCGTGCCCACACCCATAATTCTATGCCCCCTGCACATGCGCACAGACCCCCCCCCCGTGCTTCCCCCGCTTTTGGCACGAAATGGCACAGTGGGCCCATTTTTTGCTCTCCCCAGGCTCCAGAGCCTTTCTAGGAGCCTGGGGAGGGCAAAAATGGCCTTCCCCACCCCCATGGAGGCCCTCCGGAGGCCAGAAATTTGCCAAGTTTCCGGCCTCTCGGGGTGTGTGGAGAAGGCCATTTTAGCCCTCCCCAGGCTCCTAGAAAGGCTCTGGAGCCTGGGAGAAGCGAAAAACGGGCCTTCCCCACTCTCCCGAGGCCTTCCGGAGGCTGGAAACAGCCTGTTTCCCTACTTCTGGTGGCCCAGAAGGCCCAAAAATCAGATGGCGGGAGCTGAGCTTGCGTGCCCACTGATATGGCACCGAGGGCCACCTGTGGCACGCGTGCCATAAGTTCGCCATCACGGGTCTAGAGTCTCCTGCTTGAGCACGGGGGTGGACTAGAAGACCTCTTAAGACCTCTCTTCCAACTGCTGTTATTCTTTGTTCCATGCCGGGGGTGGGGGGGAAATGTGGTTTCCAATGCGGGGTTGGTGGATGAAATGCAGCACCGGCCAAGGACTCGGTTGGATAAAAATAGCTGCCCGTTCTCAAATGCTTTTCCTTCCTTGATGGATCTCAGCAGGCACCCTCCTCGCTCTGGGGGGGAAGCCTTCCCATCCCAAGTTCTCTATCTGTGCCCCGCCCCACCCCACCCGGCCACAGTTTGGGACTCTTGAGCGGTGCATTCCTCTCTGCGGGAACTCAAGATGGAAAGTTTCCTGGCTGAGTCGAAATCCCCGGCGTGCCCAGCCGCTGCAGGCAGGAAACGCTGCGATCCATGATAAGGCCCGGCTTGACCCCGGCGGGCGAGGGAACCGTGGGTGTGGCGCCCAGCGAAATTCAGCGCGGGAGATTTGGCTGGCTCTTTGGAGCCCACGATTAGAGAGCCGTCCCTCTGCTCCGCAGGGCTCAATACCTTGGTTCCCCCCCAATTCCTGGGTGGAGAAATGCATGCGCTTATTTCCCCGGTGGGCATTTGACCCCTTTGAGAGCTGCCTTCAGACATTCTCGGGACACCAGTGCCGCCAAATAAGGGAAGATGGGAGACGCAAATTCTGGTGTGTTTTTTCCAGGCGGAGGGTGGGTGAGGGTCCCTTTTCCCTCCTTTGCACAAGTTAGGACAAAACATTTCAATGAAGGGAGGTCCTAATCCCACTCTATAAAGCCTTAGTAAGGCCACACCTAAAGTCCTGCATCCAGTTTTGGTCACCGCACTATAAAAAGGATGTTGAGAATCTAGAAAGAGTGCAGAGAAGAGCAACCAGGATGATGAGGGGGCTGGAGGCTAAAACATACGATGAACGGTTGCAGGAACTGGGCCTGGCTAGTCTAGGGAAGAGAAGGACCAGGGGAGGCAGGAGAGCATCTTCCGATATTTGAAGGGCTTTTGCAGAGAGGAGGAAGGGGGTCCAGCTATTCTCCAAGGCCCCGGAAGGCCAGACAAGGAAGAATGGATGGAAACTGATCAAGGAGAGATTCAAAATAAGGAAATGAGGAGGAATTTTCTGACGGTTAAAGCAATCAACCAATGGAACAGAAGTTTATTTATTTATTTATTATTTAAATTTCTATACCGCCCTTCTCCTTTCAGACTTGGCGGTGAACAGCCAAAAATAAAACATTTGTACACAAAAGTTAAAATAGCTTTAAAATAATTAAATAAAGTTTGGCCCGTAATTTAAATCTTTCCAATTAAAATCAGTATTAATTTTAAAAACCAATATAAAATCAGGCCAGCCCGGCTAACTGAAAGAAATAGGTTTTAAGGGCCCGACGAAAAGTCCGGAGGTCTGGGATCACTCGTATCTCTGGGGGTAGATTGTTCCAGAGGGTAGGTGCCCCCACAGAGAAGGCTCTCCCCCTGGGGGTTGCCAGCCAACATTATCTGGCTGACGGCACCCTGAGGAGGCCCTCTCTGTGAGAGCGAACTGGCCGGTGGGAGGCAATTGGTGGCAGAAGGCGGTCCCGTAAGTACCCCGGCCCTAAGCCATGGAGCGCTTTAAAGGTGATCACCAACACCTTGAAGCGCACCCGGAAGTCCACCGGAACCCAGTGCAGCTCACACAGGAGAGGAGTCACATGGGAGCGCCCCGTCGCTCCCATAATCCCCCCCGCATTCTGCACCAGTTGGAGCCTCCGGGTGCACCCCAAGGGGAGCCCCATGTAGAGAGCGTTACAATAGTCCAGATGAGAAGTGACGAGTGCTTGAGTGACCGTGGGTAAGGAGTCCTGATCTAGAAAGGGGTGCAACTGGTGTATCAGGCAGACCTGATAAAAAGCCCCCCTGGCCATGGCCATCATATGCTCTTCCAAAGACAGCCGTGCATCCAGGA